TTCATCGTTAGCTTTGTTGGGTTCATTGACAAACTAGCTACACTTCATTTAAACGTCCTCTAAGGACTTTGTACCTCTCACGGTAAGTCATCCACAAATATCTGCCTACAAGTGAGGTTTGCTTCTTTTGGAAAGAGATAGCTTTGAGTATCCTTTTGATTCTCCCAACACCAAACAGCAGCCTCATCAAACTTTACATCTCTGCTCAAAATTTATTTTTTCAGTTTTTCAAGCAGAAAATTCTGTACCCCTTTACCCACGATGTGAAACCTAGCCCATTGAAAATGCCTTTTTTCAGCCTCTGTTGTCTCTAGGCCTTGCTTCTTTTTGATTTCGAGGACTTGATATAACATATACACCCAAAGATTTCTGAATGATGTACTGTTGGCTTGTTGGTCATCCAATCTTCATTAATGAGTCTTTTGTCTTCATAAGGAGTCTTGTCTTGCAAAGCTTTTGTGGGAAGTCTATTTAATAAATAGACAGAAGTATTGACTGCCTCTGCCTAGAATTGGTTTGGCATTTGTTTCTCAATTAAAAGACACCTGGCCATCTCTATTACTGTCCTATTCTTCCTTTCAAACACCCTATTTTGTTGCGGAGTGTAAGGTACAGTCAATTGATGTTCAATGCCTGCACTTTTACACAATTCAGCAAACTGGCGAGAAGTATATTCTCCACCATTATCAGATCTTAAAGCTTTAATTTTAAGATTACATTGATTCTCTACTAAAGCTTTAAATTGTTTAAACACATCAAAGACTTCACTTTTGAGTTTAATGTTCTTCCTTTCAGACACCCTATTTTGTTGCGGAGTGGAAGGTACAGTCATTTGATGTTCAATGCCACTCAAGGACTTGGTTATCATTGGACCACACACATCAGTGTGGACGAGTTAAAGTTTCTGATTTGCTCTCCATGCCTAATTTGTTCGGATGGTAGCTTCGATTACTTCCCTTGCTGACAGATCTCACAAACTTGAGCATCATAGGAAATTTCAGACATATCTTCCACCAGACCCTTCTTGTTTATTTCAGCAATTGTTGTTTGATTGAAATGTCCAAGCCTTTTATGCCACAAGTTTGTAATTGAATGCGAAGCATTTGTGTAAGCTTGCTCAGATGCTTTCTCCCAATTTACCACAAAACTTCTATTTTTCATGTTCACACTAAATAATTCAACTCCAGAAGGATAAAAAATAAATCATTTGTGATCCTTAAAAAGAAGTGAATAATTTTTTTCAAGCATTTGCCCAACACTTAACAAATTTTAGCTAATTTCAGGAATGTACAAAACATCAGGAATGTACAAAACATCAGGAATGGTTTAAATACCTGATTTTGTTAAGACAGCCACTGATCCTCTTTCTTTGACTTCTAGGAATTCTCCATTTCCTACCTTTACTTTGGATTTGTAGGTATCATCAAGAGTCCTGAACATCTCTGCATCATTGCACAAATGATGGGTGCAGCCGCTGTCGATAAGCCATGCATCTGAGAAGTCATTCATTGAGAAGCAAGAAACTGCAAAAAAGTTGCTCCTCCTGTGCATTATTTTCGTCTGCCATTTGAGCTTGAGAAGGTTTTGAGCCTTTGTTTTTGGATTTGCAGATTTGCAGACTTTGGATACATGCCCAACCTGCTTACAACTGCCACATACAGCATCAGGCCTCCACCAGCAATATTTCTCAAGATGTGTTGTTTTTTTGCACAAGAAGGAAACTAGTATTCTTTGGACCCTTTCACTGGCCAATTTCCACCATCGTGCTTTTGCCCTTATTTTTCTGGTTGGGGATGATTGTTTCCCCTATAAGAGAAGTTTTTGCTTTGCATAGAGAAGCTCCTTCGTGAATCTCTCACTGCCTCATATTCCTCTTTGCTCTTGGCGCTTTGAAGTGCACTCATTAGTTCACCTAATGAAATCGTACTTATTGTCCTTGGACTCTGTCATGAGGAAGAAATCTTGGGATTCAAACCTCTTCTGGAAAGGAGAAGAAATCTTGGATTCAAACCTCTCTGGAAGAGTCACAAGAACTTTCTCCACAATTCTTGTCTCTAAGAAATCTTCACCAAGCAATCTTATGTTATTAACAATCAAAGAAATTCGATCGGCATACTTACTGATTGTTTCATCCTCCAACATGTGCAATGACTCAAATTCCCTTTTCAAGTTCAACACTTGCATTTGACGTGTTCTACCACTGCCTTGGTATTCTTCCTTCAACCTGTCCCAAGCCTCCTTTGCAGTTTTGCAAGCCATAATTCGGTAGAACACAGAATCTGCTACTGAATTTTGAATAACTGACTTGGTTCTAGATTTCTTTACTTTTTCTTCACTGTTGAATTTGATTTGTGCTAAGGTGGGGTTTGCTGGTAGAGCAGGAATTTGTTTATCCTCTGTTACAGATTCCCAGAGATTAAAGGCTTCCAAAAAAGCTTGCATCTTCACTGACCAAATGTGATAATTTTGACTAGTTAAGATGGTAGGCGGGTTTAAAGATTGGCTGCTGGATGCCATTTGGAGTTTTGGATTAAAAAAACTTTCGTTGTAGTTTGGTCCCGTAAGATAAACTAGGCTCTGATGCCACTGTTAAAACAAACAATAATATAGAGTTTACAGATTGAATCTTATGAAATTGATAGAGAATTCCAGCATGGCTTTCATTGAAGAATACTGCAGAATTTATACAAGAATGGAAATAACAAACTTCCTATTTAGATGCCACTCATAAGGTGAATAAAAACTGAATAAGAAAAAAAATTCTACAAACTAAAGAGCTAAAAAAACAAGCCACTAATTAAGCACCTAACTCCACCATTTGATGCTGTTAAAAAAAAAGAAAATACAGAAAATATTTAACAGTATTGCTGGGTGGAACTGACAATGCCAGAAAATCTAACAAGTTTACAGAGATCTTGAGTTACAGAGGGATCTTGAAGGGAGGCTGTATACTCAAGTGAAGAGATTTGAGAATTAAAGGCTAGAAATTTGGAGTTGAAATCGCTAACCCAATTTCTTCCATCCAGTGATGTAGTGTCGAAGGATGCGCCACAGTTGAGCAGGAAGATTTCTGTTGGATCATACGGCGTCGAGTTGTTAATAGCAGTGATGCATGGGAGAAAATTTATAAAGAGAGATGCACGAGAAATTAATTTTGTCAAGATTAGAAAGACAGAGAACAAAGAACAAACTGAGACATTTATGAAGCCCATGGATGTTGTGTTTTGGATTTTGAATTTAATTTCTTTCCGTATGTTCCAAATACTTGTAAAGGTTTAGGGGCATAAGAAAAATACTTGCACTAAGCTAATAATTGACTGCCATTAATTAATCATGTGATAAATATATGAGAAAATATACAATATATAGAGATATTGACAATATAATATACCAATTCACTCCTGACTGTGCATATGGTGATCTATATCTCCAATTCCTGTATTCGCACTAGTTAAATAAAAATTAAATTTAAGTGATAAAAAATTCTACTAATTTTTTTTAAGAAAAATGTTAAATAATTGATTTTTTATCATAATAAAACTAGATATAATTTATTATTCAATCAGAGAATATAATTCATCACCATCAGACACACCCTTTTCTTTTATCCAAATTACTGAAGTCACAAGCTCAACAAGCTCAGAGCTTTGCAACATGCTATACCAAGTCTCTTTTTTTCTTGTTTTAAGAACTGTGAATTGTTAACTCTAAAAAGCATTTTGGGAGTTAAACAAAGATTGAACAAGTCTTCAAAATGTTTTGAAAGACAAGTTTTGGCACTATCATTTAATCAAGTGGTACGTGCTCAGAAAGTAAGGGGCTGACCGTAAGGTCTAATTGTGGTTGGACAAAATATGTAACATCGACAAAATGGGTCGGGCAAGAAGACTTCTAGTATGTAGAAAGTCATCCATAGGATTTTAAAAAGACCTTGTTGAATACAAATTAAATAAAGAACTGCGGAAGACCTGGTGAATAGATTAGCTATAACGACAATGACAACAAAATAGTATAATTATACCCTTCACAAACAGAGCAATGCAGATCTTAAGAAGTTGGATTAATTATATCATTGGAGAGAAATCCATATCAAACTATTAATTATATTAATTAAAATCTAGATAGTACATTATTTAGAAATAGTATAATTACATAGAAATGCTTAAATTTTAAGAAAATATTCAAACTAGCAGAATAGAGCAGCGGTAATGATCTTATTCAAACTAGCAGAATAGAGCAGCGGTAATGATCTTAGTCTCCATATTTATCCAATTGCAATTCTTTCAAACAACTAAAAGCCCAGTAACCGGGAAACAAATTTTTTAAGAAATCAAAAACAGAGCAGGTCTTATTGTCTGTAACAGCACATTGTCGAGTATAAACAAATTTTTTCCATTCTTATAGTAACTACAAATTGGAAAAAGATCATCAGCATTTACTCTCAGGATTCCTTTCTAAAACCATGCAAAATTTGATAGACTGTAATAAGCATACCAGAGACTTAAATCAATTGGATTTAACTACAATTTTCATCTTCCCATTTGATTCATAATTTCCGAAAATACAGACTTAGACTTAAATCCAACAGGATCAAGTTTAGCAGCACTCCCTTCACTCCCTTCACCACTACTAACTGTGCTCTTGGAGTCCTACTTTTGTTCGCCTGAAACGCTAAATATATCATCATCATCGGTAGTTACAACAGCTTCCCGACGCAACAACAATGGACTTTCCTGCTCTTCACCCACACTCTCAACACTACTATTTCTACTCTTCTCTGCCGTCTCTTGAAGCTGCAATGCTAACTCCACAATGCTAACTCCAGCTCACCATATCACGCCGCTCATTGCCGGTTTTCACATATCACGCCGCTCATTGCCGGTCTTTGTGCTCCATTGTCACGCAAACAGCTCTCCGCAATCTCTCCAAATTTCTCCAAACAGGCAGGATCAGCATCACCTCTCAAGTGCGGGTCCATTATTCGATCGAGTACACCTCTTCTATAGCAGATTCTAGCCCAATCAGCTAAATTCGCTTGCTCTTTGGGCAATCCTGGAATTACAGGTGGCCTAGCACATAATATCTCCAATAGAACAACTCCGAACGAGTACACGTCAGATTTTTCAGTGAGGTGTTGCCTACGATAATACTCTGGATCTACATACCCAATACTACCCCTGACAACAGTGCTGACGTGAGTTTGGGACTGGCTAGTGGGACCCATTCTTGACAAGCCAAAGTCAGAAACTTTAGCCACCCAGTTCTCATCTATCAGTATGTTCGTTGACTTGACGACGTCGCGCGTGGAATGATCGGGTGTTTCGCACCTTTATGGAGATTTGATTGCAGTCCATGTTGCAGCTCCGATTGCAGATCTGTAGGTCTTTGCTTCCATGGAAGAGGAGGGTTTTTTTTTGGTTTTAAGAGGAGGGTTTTTGGTTTTGTAGAGATGATCACGGAGAGTCCCGCGGTGCATGAACTCGTATACTAGAATCATCTCGCCTGGATCATCACAGTATCCTATTAGAGACACAAGATGCGTGTGACGGAGCTTGGAAAGCATCTGGATTTCTGTTTTGAACTCGCGAGCTCCCTGTTTTGATGATGAATGTAATCGCTTGATTGCGACAGTAAAGGCGCCATCATCGATGGATCCTTTGTAGACATTTCCAAATCCACCGGAGCCAATAACGAATTCGTCGTCGAATTTGGATGTGGCTACTTCAATTTCGAAAATTGAGAACCGACGGAATTGATTAGAAGGATTTGGAGCAGAATTTCTGGTCGTGGATCTTGAAGTGTGAGGAAAAGGGACTCGAAAGGATTTGGCCTTGGTAATAATCGAGTCCTTCTTTCCTCTCCTCCTCTGATTAAAAACAAAGAAACAAATGATAAAAGCAAGAAATAATACACCACCAAATACTGGTCCAATTAAAATTGTTTCTTTCTTTACGTTTTTTCTTTTTGTTCTTTCTAATAATTTTGGTTGCTGGACTGGTGGTGTCTGAACTGGTATTGGTTCAGAGTTTGGCCCTGCTAAACTACCCTTTGAATTATTCAACTTGAATATCTCCAATTTCAAACTTTGAATATCTCCAAGCGTTCCAAGATTGCGTCAGCAAACTCAAACTCATCAGATGGGTGTTAAAGCGAGCGCCACAAGTCCTGCTTGGCTAGGGCTTCCTGCTGGAATCCCATATGGACGTGGTCTTTGTAACTGGAACACCTTTACACCGCTCCAGATATATTACAATCTGCTTGACCTCCCGCTGGTTTTATTATTGATGAATATGGATAATACCAGTTGACGCGCACAGTACCTCTAGTCGATTCATCCACAAAAAGTGGAGCACGAACAAGATAGTTGAATCCAGTATCAACGGGGAATATCCAAGTGAGATTGATTTTAATGTTAACCTTTTCGTTGAGGTCCCATTGAACGCATAGTAATATACACCAATTACAGTACGCGACCCAAGCAGAGTAGTCTCGTATAATTTATCAACCTTAGAAAATTAGACAACCACTCAATGCAGCACCAAAAATATATTAGAGTCTTGAACCCATTCGTGTAACATTCCGGTGTCACCTTGGAACCGGTTCAATATCCCGTTTCCTCCAACATAACCGATAAACAGGTTCTCTAAGAGCGGTTGTATTATCAAATAGAAGGATAGTCAATGCCAACATTACAGGGCGGGCTATCATTTTCCGTGTATATAAAAAGACCCCTCTGGCATTTTGAAATGATTTCAATGACCGTTTATGAACGGCAGAAAGTTTCAAGAGATGGATTAAAGTTAACGTTAAGCATCTGTTTTCCTGAATAGTTAACGACAAACTCTTTTCACAATGGCAGTCAGCTGGAGGGCGCATTGGCTGAAACCGTAAGAAAAGCGCTAAGAGTTGCTTAGAAAGTGTGTGTTAGTCATTGGCTTCAACGGAAAGAGGGATTTTGGAGATATCAAGATTGGAGTTTAAGCAACAGGATAGAAGTAAGAGAGACGAACAAATTTTTTGAGCCGCCAAGTTGAGACAGTAAAGCTGTAGGTGAATTTTGGATAGAAAAAATCGAGCTGTATTGTAAGGGACTTGGGTCACAAGTGTAATTCTTGTCCGGGAGGCTTTGAAAGCAAATGATGAGGTCCTGAGAGTTAGAGGCACGAATTTGGATCGGCATCGCTTAGCCAATTTCGGCCGTTTGTTTCGGGTGATGTTTGAAGGAGAGGAGCCCACCACAGTTTAGAGAAGGATAATTGTCTGCTGGAGTCAAAAGTATTATGGCGGCAAGCTGTGAACGGCTGTGATGCAGAGGAGAAGGATTATGAAGAGAAGGATTATGAAGAGAGATGCAAGAGAAATTAATTTTGTCAAGATAAGAGAGAGTGAGGCAATTATGAAGCCCATGGATAGTGTGAAATTTAATATCTTTTAGATCCAACCATTTGTTTATGGCGATCGGCAACGATAGGAATAAAGGGAAGAAGTTTACATCAACTTTCCAATTAAAAAAAAAAAAAAAAAGGGTAAAATTAGCTGCAAAAGTCTGCACTCATTTTCTGCGAGAAATGGTAATTTAAACGTACAATTAACGTTTAATAGTAAATTTGCTTTCTACTTTAAAAAAACAAAAAAAAAAAAAATTGTAGCATGATATATCCATTGAATTATGGATTAACTTGGTTAAAGGAAAAAAAATATATAAAAATATAATATGAAAGATACTTTTTAATAATTTAATGATATATCTTTGAATATATATTAATTAATTAATTATATAATAAGTAAATTAGTCATCCAATCAAAATTTTATAAAAGACAATGTAATTATTTTTAAAATTTGTAAAAAAAGAGAAAATAAAATGTTGAGAAAAGAGAGTATCAAGTTGAGGTTTATATATTTTTTTTTATTCTAATTTTATATTGATATATAGTTGATATATAGATATAAAAATAAATATATAAAAAAATATTATATATATTTTTAAATTTTAAATTTTTTTACTATTTGTCATCCTCATGTTATATTTGTTCTATTTAAAAATAAATATTATATATATTTTTAAATTTTAAATTTTTAACTATTTGTCATCCCATGTATATTTGTTCTATTTAAAAATAAACTTTAAAAAGTAAAAATTTAAATTTTGGAAATTATACATATTCTATTTGAGAATTTAATATATCCAATCAAATTTTAAAAATATAAAAAATATTAATAAAAATGATATTTTTTTTCTTTTCTATCTCTCTCATCAGCAAAATAGTTAATAAAAAATAATTTTTAGTTCCCATGAATAAAAAATAAATTTGAAAAATAAAATATAAAAATTTTTAAATGTCTCTTTATGATATATTTATTGAAAAATAAATTAAAAAAAATAAAAAACGTAATTTTGAAATGCTTACTTATCTAATTTATTTATTTGAAGAATAATTTCAAATAAATTATATCTAATCAACTAACAAAATATATATTATGAGTGCTATCAGAAATTCTAGTACATCATTTCCGTATTTATATATATTATAGATTACAAATTATTAATGAATTATAATTCTAAAAAAAATTATTGTCTTATAGTTATTTCTCTTCTCTCAAATTGTCCCTGAAAATTACTTATAATACTTTTTTGGATTCTGGGAAAAAAAAAAAGAGTAATTATAATAATCTAGAAAATGAAATAAAGTAAAACATTAATAATTAATAACTCATTTTAAATTTTCAGTAACGCATAGCTACCAGTTCATTTTGAACCGAAACTGAATCGGAAGTGAATCATACCGTAGATGAATCGGAATCAGATCGAATTATCAGTTTAAAGTTTTGAATTGGAATTGGCGATTTAAGAACTGGTTAAAATTCATGTGAATGTTAAAATCTGAACCTGAATCGATCCAAAACTGGCAGTTCCAATCTGGTTCGAACCATAAATTTTCTATTTTTATTTTCAAAATGATAATCACTTACTCTATTCTATACACCTCTAAAAATCTAAATAAAATTTTAGTAAAAATACACTTAAGATTTTTTTTTAAATACACTTAAAAAGTTAAAAATCTAAAAAAGGTTAATTTCAGGTTAGAACTGAGCCAATTATCCTATTAATTCATAACAAGATCTGGCTATCTGGTTTGAAGTTCTTGTTGCTAAGAACTAAAATACAACGGTTTAGAGCCAATTCAAGTTTAAGTTTATATAATTATTTTTTTTCCTTAATTTTTAACTTCATAGTTTTAACATTTTAATAATTCTATAAAATTATTCTTTTTCTAAAATATAATTTATTTTACAGTTGAATTAGTTATATAAGCTATATTTTCAACTTACTTTACGGAAATGTCCATCAATAGTATAAGAAGTAAACGTACTTATCAACTATGAATTGATAATTTTTAAGGAGACGCAGTTTGCTTTTAACAATACAATTAGCAATTAATTGCCCGATTAAGAAATTCCTTTGTGACAACAAGTTAAGAATTTCGGGGGAAAAAAAGATCCTTTCAATAAGGTGTATAAAATCAGAAATTTTAATTAGAGAATGAACTGGTTTCTTTACGAGTATCTGCTCTGCACGATAGCCGGAGAATTTATGAAACCTTCAAGAATTTGCTATCAATAGAAACCAGAAAACCAAACAGATAATAATGGAAATGCCACAGAAGAATAAAAAAGTCGAGTAAAAACTAAGCTTCAATTATTCTCAAGTGTCTCCATCGCTGTGAGGTCATGAATTCAAATGAAATAGGATAAAAAAACTGAGCAAGCATAAGCGGGAAATGTTCTTCTCTTCTTAACAATAATCAAACACGATAATTTGCGGAAATTTCATTGCCATATTCGTAATTACAATGGGAAATTATTCAAACCTGCAGGCCATAAGCCTCTTGTTAATTCCCACTGCCAAATCTTCTGCATCGATCGTAAGTACTACAAGGTCGAATTTTCTTAGTGGGAGGTCCGAGGCAATTGCCATATTTAGCTTGACTGCAAAATGGTGGCTTTTGTAAACTTCCATAAGTTATATATGCCACAGACGTGGAAGGATTAATTAAAGGACTTGGACAGACATCATCTGAATATTCCATCGATAAATCTCCATAGCTTGCGTTCCCTTTTAGAGGCTCTGCTACAGCAACGTCTGTGATGATCAAAACAATCAAGACACTTGAAAGGAACCAAACCCATTCTTCAATCTTCATTTTCTTGTTTTTTCCTTGCACCTGTGTAAGGAGACTGTTATAAAACCAACAGCAGCTTATCAGAAACCAGAGCTGAAACTTGGGATGATATGTAAACAAGGACTCTGTTTACTGGGTTGACCGAGTCTTTTCCAGATAATATACATATATTACTTTCCTTAAAAAAGAAAAATATTTAATATAGTTTGCAATAAACAATATCCTATACTCTGGCACTATCATCTTATTATCTGAAATTTATTTTCGTTCTGTTCAAAAATAAAATAAAATAGAAACAAATAGCATCTTCCGTTGACAAGTTAAGAGCTTTCCACAATTCCACTAAGTTTCCCTCAAACGAAGGCGCAAATAAATACAAATTAGTCCCCTCTGGATTTGGGACCATGTAACCAAGAATTGACATTCAATTATCATGACAAATTTGGCGTTTTATGCCGATGATTGTGCTGAAATTTTGCCTACGAGCGTAAATTCTACTCCAACTTCTGTAAGACTAATAAGTGGTTCTTGTGTTTCTGAGATTTAGTACTTACAAACACCGAATTAAAGAGACTTGGTCAAGCGAGGTTCGAAGAAAGTCACCTTGCATATAAAAGTGATATATAGTCATTTCTCAATCAAACCTTCTCTGTAACGCGTTTTTTGGCCCTGCACTGAGTTTTCATAACCAACAATTGAACATTTCAATCAACTTGATGCGTCAGATTCTAAAAAAATCTATACTCGACCCAGCAAGAAAATATTTACCAGCTCATCCAGTTGCCCAACCTCAGGTTAGGGATAGGTCAGGTCTTACTTACGACTTCTTTTCTATTCATTCAGTTATATGTTTTTGTCTCTAATTTTAACCTGAATATAGCAAATAACACGAAGCTAAATTTTTTAAGGAAAAAAAAAAAAGAAATTCTATAAATTCACTAGATTTGGATAACCTTAAATAAACAACCTAACAACTAAAGTTCGAGCGTAAATGTCTGCATTCTGGATTTTTATTTATAGCATATTTAGTTTTTATATTTTTAAATTAACATTTAATAATTATATTTTCAACATATTTGTTGAATTCAGTTGTATTATAGATTGATAGTATTCTTAAATGTAATTATTTTTGTAACATTTTTGCAAAATTCATAATAAATAAAATTATATATCCAAACATTATAAATAAATAATCTAAACTATTATAAAATATATTTTAATTTTATAAATCCAAAAATAATAAAATATATAATCCAAACATTTATAAATAAATAATCTAAACTATTATAAAAAATATTATTTTTTAATTTATTAAATCCAAAAATTCAAAAAAATAATTAGTTTTATAATTTTATAATTTAAAATTAATTAATGAAATCATACTAAAATAAATTTAAAAATTATATTTTAATTTTAAAAGTACTGCTTAATAAATAATTAAAATCAATACAATACCATATAATGAATATAAATATATTAATTGAATTTTCCAACTTTTATTGGTAATATTTAGAATTAAAAAAAAAAGTCTTATTCAATTCAATTCAATTAAAACACTTAATTTTTTAGCGAGAATATCAATCTTCTTCTTGCTTCTCTGCTGCTCTTAATTTTGTAATCACAATAGTATCTGTTACAGCTATTGTCAATTGAAAACTTGTTGTAATCTCATAATTACTCTTAATTTTGTAATCACAATAGTATCTGTTACAGCTATTGTCAATTGAAAACTTGTTGTAATCTCATAATTACTGGTGGTGTTTTTATTTTTAAACATGACACAACTTCTGGAGAGACATTAAAGTGGATTCCCAAATTAGACCCGTCAACAGTATCAGTTCATGTTGTTGATTGTAATAAGCTATTAGAGGAACCAAGTGAAGGTGTTGAAGCTGAGAAAGCATTTTAACTTCTGTGAACACCAAGTTTGATCAACAAAAAATGGCAATATTTTCTTAATCCATCTTTTTGAGAATTTGAGGGTGGAGTTATAGGTTAGAGATATGACAACAACATCTCTAGAAAAACAGGGGAAGACAAAGTACCATAAAATTTGCAGAAGAATGCATGGATGGATGGAATTGAAAATCCAACTGTTATCTAGACGAACTTTGATTATGGTTCTCATTATTCTGTTATAAAGAAAGGGAGAGATTATTGTATTCGGATTGAAGATTTTTCCCTTTGATCATCTTACAATATCCCATATCTGTTGATGGTTACAAATATAAAGGCACATATAAGTTTTGAGTTACACCCTGAGCGAACATTTGTTTAATTTTTGTCAAAGCTGAAAATACACTTGCGAAACCTTGATGTGGTCTAGAGGTACCACGCTTTATTTATTGTCTTTTTTCTGTAATGGGCTAATAGCCCAAAATCTTGAAATGTGCACATACCTTTTCTTTTTACTGATAAGATGTGTCTCTTGTTATTATTAAGTATCCACATATTATCGGTCATAATTTTATAAATTTATTCAATCATTTATATTATTATATGCCCTATAATCACAGAATATTAATGGCCAATCCTCTGCCTTTGATGAATCAAATATATATATATTACAAGAAAAAAAATCATTTTAAAGCCCTCTGTTTTAAATTTTTATATGTATCTAAAAAATTTTCTTTTTTGATATAAATCACAGCTACATCCCTTAAGTGATACCATTTCAGAACATTTTTATTGTTTATGTAACATTACAAGCTGCTACATTGTGGGCAGGAGGAAAACTTTCTCCTTCATTTAGCCTGTTACATTAATGCAATATAAAAAGAAATCCAAGTTTCAACTAATTGCTTTTGTGATGGCTATGTTATGCAGCGAAAATACATTAAAGCGTTACAAGATCAGATTCAGAGCAATAGCAAAGACACAAATATGATAGCTAGATATAAGTACTTGGAAGCTATTAAATCCAACAGCTATTAAATCCAACAGTTTTAACTTATTTTGGGGGGAGTGTAAAATTTGCATAGCTGAACATATCTCTGCTGGACCCGCTGTAACGTGTAACTACATGAGCAGAAGAAGTAAATATCATGGCGGCCATATTCGTCAATAATAATGGTTGGAGGAAGACTCGTAGAAAGTCGTTGGCAGGACTCAACAGAGTTCTTTTGTTTAGGCAGAATCATTTTTTCTAACTTGAAAAGGAATTTGGGGCAAACAGAGACTTGCACAAAGCTTAAGCAGTGACAGTTTTGGCGCAACCTTTTGATGAAGTCGTTCTAAGGATCTAATCATTCACTTGCAACCTTTTGATGAAGTCGTTCTAAGGATCTAATCATTCACTTGTTGATTGTCTTTTAATGGAGGGACAGTAGACCTACCTAGCAACTTGGTTCATAAATTTTATCGTTGGCCTGAAGACAAGGGACAGTACTGTGCCTACCTACTTTTTTTCCATTAGTTCCAATCAAAGATCGGAAAATCTTAGCCCGGAAGTGGTAGGAGCATGCATGCAAGACTTGGAAAAGTCCTTGCCTCCTTGGACATATTCTGAATCCATTTTTCTAATTCAATAAAACTAAAAAAGTGAATTTGTATTCCTAAAACACATTCATATGACCCCTTAGTTCAGTTGTCATTTTAGTGGAAAAATAGACATTCCAACCAACGAATTAATATCGTACGCATGCTTCATCTTATCTGAAACGACTGGAAATTAACGCGTCAATTGTCCTTACTTCTTCTCGTATCTCCTTTTTATATGTAGGCTATAGCTTCCACCCACCCAACCCATTCCATCAAGCTGATTGGAAAAGTCTGGACCCAATTTCCTACGGCAGACGAAGACTTGTAAAGCTCTCCGGGTCAATGCAACTTGCACAAAAATAAAAATTGACGCTGATTACACTTCCTCTGTTGTCCAATAGATGTTACCGCCAGAATATAATTGCTTCATCAATTCAGATATTTGAAGCATTTCCATTGGATAAAAAAAATATTGATAGTACATTAATTTCTGGTTGAGTTTCAATAAATTGACAAGTAAGAAAAAATATCTTGAGGAATCTTTGAAGGTAGAATAATCTACCCTTATAAAAAGGAAAAAAAAGATATATCTACACAAAACGACATTCACACCACATCAATTTTAAAATTTTTTTTTTTAAAGAAAAAATACCTTTTGTGTTCTTAAGACAGTCCAATTAGCAGTGAAAAATTTTTTTTTGTTCATTTAATTTTAGATTTTTCGACTCTAAAGAAGAATTTTTAATCAAGAATTAGGTAATCCCTCTTAATTGTTTTCTCAATAGTTAAAATCCAATCAAAAGCATTCAACTTTTGCTATTCAGAAAGATTCCCAGACCTTGAGAAAATGGAATCAAAAGCATTCAACTTTTGCTATTCAGAAAGATTCCCAGACCTTGAGAAAATGGCAAATGGTTCTTATAATATTAAATTGATCAAAATTTATAAAATACTTTGTATTGACAACTTCACAGTTATTTTCCGGATTGCTAATCGCTCACAGCTATTCTCTGATCAATCATAGAGGAACCAATAATTTAACCTTCCACACAAATTATTATCAAATCTTCAGTGCTTCCTTTCTAATAACAGAATCAATCAAATCAATCCAGAAAGATAATTCTTTGAAAAACTATAGTAAAATTATTAAAGAATATACAGAAGAAAAATTACTAAAATGAAATAGAGTAAACCGTTTGCATTGATAAATATAAACTACTATATAGTTGGAAAACCCTAATGAGCTAATTCCTCAAACATTACACCATATTAAACTAAGCTAATTAATATTACACAATATTTCTTATCGGGCTCTTGGGTTGATGATCTCAGAAAATACAGCACCAGACATTACTTGCTCGGAATTGTTACTAATAAAACTTTGTTCATCACTGCTGCTTATTAATGTCATTCCACTAAGCCGAGAACCAATCACAAGTTCACTGCCGCTACTAAACAAATCGTCACTGCTATCAGCAACTGAGGACCCTTTTAGTGGACTCTCCATGTCAATGTAACTTCCAGTTTGAAGCTCGCCTTGCTTGGTAGCAGTTTCCTGCAACTGTAGTGCAAATTCAAGACCCCAGACCACGTCGCCCATTGATGGCCTGTCCATTCCATTTTCATGCAAGCAACTTACTGCTACTTCAGCAAATTTTCTCAAACAATCCGGTAAAATCTTTCCATGCAAATATGGATCCACTATTTCATCAAAGTTTCCCTTTCTATAGCTTCGCCTTGCCCATTCTGCTAAGCTCGCAGGATTATCGACCGTTGATCGATTCACTGGCGGTCTAGCAGATATCACTTCACATAAAACAACACCAAATGAATATACATCAGATTTTTCTGTTAATCTCTGAAGCCGGAAATATTCAGGATCTAAATATCCAAAACTTCCTTTCACTACGGTACTAATATGCGGCTTTGACATGCTATTGGGACCTATTTTGGATAATCCGAAGTCTGAAACCTTTGCTACCCATTTCTCATCTAGCAAAATATTTGTTGTTTTGACGTCTCGATGAATGATTGTGTTGCTGGCCCCAGAATGAAGGTAATTTAACCCCCGCGCTGCCCCAATGCATATCTCTAGTCGTTGAGTCCATGGAAGTGGAGGATTGCCGGTCTTGTAGAGATGATCGCGAAGAGTTCACCCCCGCGCTGCCCCAATGCATATCTCTAGTCGTTGAGTCCATGGAAGTGGAGGATTGTCGGTCTTGTAGAGATGATCGCGAAGAGTTCCTCGAGCCATGTAATCATATACAAGTATCATTTCATTATCTTCATAGCAATAGCCAATTAAAGAGACTAAATGAAGATGACGAAGCTGAGAGAGCATCTCAATCTCTGTCTTGAACTCATGTGCCCCCTGTTCAGACCCTGGATTCAGCCGTTTGATTGCAACAGTACTGGCCCCATTGTTGATTAAGCCTTTGTAGACATTACCAAAACCTCCAACGCCTATAATGAATAAATTGTCAAAGTTATTGGTAGCATCTATAATCTCGGAGAGTGAAAACCGGCGACAAACATCAGCCGGTAGAGTTGATGAGCTCTGAGTCTTGGTAGAAGAAATAGAAAATGGGCCCAACCATGAAGCTGCTCCATTACCCCTGTCCTTGACTCCAAGTCTTCTTCGCCGGCCAATCAAGAAAAGTAGGAGAGAGAGTATAGCAAGGCCTGATACAGTACCACCAATAACGGCACCAATTTTTGTCCCGTTATTGCTAGAATTTGAAGACGTGGGGCCATTAGTTTCAGTAGTGTGTGCACTTGTTAAGTTCACGTCAGGATTTGGTCCGGCGAGGCTATTGTCTATATTACTCATTTTGAAGATTTCAATCCCATTCAAAATTGCATCAGAATATAAAGTCAGAGCAACCCTGGGATGCAATGCGACAGACACATTTTGAACCTTTTTGTTTCCTTGGGGTTCAATCGCTACTCCATAATCTTTGAATATAGGAAATCCATTCCCCCCACTCCATTTAATTACATCGGCACTATCTGCCGTTTGATTGTTTATGTAAATCCAAAAAACCCTGTCCTCTATTTCAGTTATTGGCGATTGAAACTCACAAAAATGAAGTCTAAAAAGATAAGTAAAATTAGAATCAAGCTGAAACGTCCAAGTGAGATTATATTTCTCGTTAGTGCTCTTGTTGTCACCCATTGACCTTGCAGTTTTATACACCTCGGCCGGTGCACCATAACGAGCGATATTATTGAGATCGCCATATTTAAGATGAAGGGTGAGATTATAAAGAATTGCACTTGGTTTTGCAATAGTTAAATATTCATCATCAGCTGTCCAGCTTCGAAACATTCCATTATCCTTTAGAGGTGAGACGTCACCGCCTCCAACATTTATCCGGTAGGTTACTTCTAGAGCAGTGTTGCTTCCAAGGCTGCCTAGATCGCTCCTGTCAAGAAATTTAATTTCTGGATCGCCGGTTGCATTGTACAGAAGATTTGAAGGTATAGATACGATTTCAAGTCCGTTAATGAAAGCATATGCGCCAGTCATACTAGGAGTTGGACTGAACGTTACGTTCAACATCTGACCATCTTCTACATTTAAGCTGAATTCCTTAACAAAAGTGTCAAAGTTATGAGCCTGTGCATAAAGCGCGGCACTGAAGTTGCTAAGCAGAGTGAAGCCACCGGCTTTGACAGAAAAGAATGCAGTGGAGCTGCTGAAACTGACATAGGAAGCTGGGTAAAAATAGAGGCGAATAAATTTTGGCCCTGGAGTAACCGGTAACGTGTAGGTGAAATCGGACCGTGAGAGGCGTGCAGTTATATAAGGAACTTGATCGCCAGAGGTAGGATTTTTAGGAGCTGGGGATGTTATTGATGCGTTGGTTGGATCCAGGAGGGAGAATTTCGAATCGGTGTCTGCAGTCCAGATTCGACCACCTTCGGCAGTTGGAGCACTAGTAGAGCCACAATCAATAGTTATGTTGCCGATAAGAGGAGATGGTGAATCTCCGGCGGTGAGGATAGTAAGTTGGTGGAGCAAGAGAAAAAAGTAGAGAACGGCAGAGATCGATGGGATTTGCAGGGGAAGATATTTGTTATTGGTTTTTCTCATCTTGTGAGAGAAAGAAGAGAAGGTTATGTTGCCGATAAGAGGAGATGGTGAATCTCCGGCGGTGAGGATAGTAAGTTGGTGGAGCAAGAGAAAAAAGTAGAGAACGGCAGAGATCGATGGGATTTGCAGGGGAAGATATTTGTTATTGGTTTTTCTCATCTTGTGAGAGAAAGAAGAGAAGTGCGGAGAGGAAACAGGTGGTGGAGCATGCATAGAAGCTTTTCGTTTTTAGCTATATAAAATATATATAAAAAAAAAAAGTAAAAATGCAAGGGATTGACTTCCTTACAGTCGCGATGAAAGGAAATTTTTTCTAACCGGAAAGAAAATGATAATACTTTAATCATTTCCATTTTTTTATTGTAATTATATTTATTTAGATCAAATTCATAGATCAAATCGAGAAAATAAATATTTTTTAAAATTATTTTTATTTTATTTTTTTTAATATATAATTAGAAATTTTTTTACATATTTTAATAAAAAATTTTTATTTTTATTTATTTGATTTATAGATAAATGCATGGACAGATCTGAAAAAGACAATCCCTTTTATTGTTTAGTAGTTAAAGAGTGTGAAATTTTGAAGAAATACTCGATTGGATACAGAAAAGAAAAGGGATGATAGATACGAGAGATGGAGTAAGGACATGTAAAAATTTTATCAATAACTAATGGCAAGTGTCAGCCACGTGGCACTGCGATGGCCTAAAATTCAATTTAACGTGTCGAGGGATTTAGTGTTATAAAAATATTAGTTCAGTGATGAGTTAAATGTTAGGATTGATGAAGTGCGTATTGAAATAGTTCATGGATCAGCGACATAATTAATCCCTTTGCCCTTTTAAGGAATTAACCCCTTTCGCCTTTTAAGGGATCGTTTAGTAATATTAATTGTTTTATTAGTCGTTAGTTATTGCAGTAATTATTAATTATTTTATTAGTTATTAGTGTTTTAATTTATCAAAATATTAAAAGCTATTTTTTATAGTGTTCAGTAATATAGTGTTTAAATTAATTTTTAGAAGTTAAGGTAACATTTTATAAAAAGTTAATTTATATAATATTTAGATTTTAGCATTTTGTAAATGCTGCTAAAACAGCTATCAGTTAAACGCTACTAAAACAGTTCACAATTATCAAAATAACTAATTTTATTGAATATATCATTTAAAATAATTATATTTTTAGCGTTTAAATTTTTTATTTTTTTTTATTTTGACGTTTGAAGGAAAAATGCTAAAACAGCAAAAGATCAGTGACAACATGAAGCCTTTTGGACATTATTCTGAGTTTGCATCTACTTGTGACTTCAGAATGCGACTTCTGCTTTAAATGTCTCTGCCTCTCAGGAATACTTTTTGTACCCGCGCAAATGGATGTCGCGCTCGCGAATGTTGCTGACAAACCTTCTGACTCTCAGGAGCGATCAAGTTCATGAACTTCTAAAAATTTATAACTGGATGTCTCCAATTGAGCTGGCAGATCAAAATCGTGATCGCGCTACTATAGAATCCACTTTTTTAACAAGTGGCAGCTGAAGCGGACAAAAAAGCCTACAAGTTAGCCAAATCAGAGTTAGACTTTGTGAAAATTTACCTTTTTAACCTTCATTTAATGTCGTCCGATGATCAAATCTACCAATAATTTCAAGTAGCCTTTTTAACCTTCATTTACAGTGATATTTTCTCCGATTATACTTCCAATTGGTCCTTTAATAGAAGGGGTACTCAATGGTCTGGGTCACTTGATTTGAATAGAAATTTTTATTGAAGGGGTACATTTATCATTAGATTATATTTTGATATTTATTTAATATATGTATTTAAAAAAATAAATTTATAAATTCTATAAATTTTTTATGAGTAAAGATGTGAGAATAAATAAAGTAAATTAAAAATAGATAAATTAAAAATATAAATAAATAAATAAATATGAATTTAAACTGTTGGTAATATGTTTGCCAATTAGATTATCAATTTAAAAAAAAAAAGATAAAAATAGTAACATTTTTAAAAATTTTTTTTGATCTCAAACGCAGGAATACACAAGTATTATCCTTCAAAAATTAGGCAGTAGCAATTGAATCCAAATGAAACCAAAAGTTACAATATGTAATAATTTCTTAAAAAATTTTACTATTTCAATCACATGAGGCAGTAATAATAATGATAAGAAAACATTATGAGAAGATAGAATGGTTACACTGTTAATGGAACAAATATAATTAAACAAAATTACTATTTAGTTCATGAGTTTTGATCAAATACACTAACCATCTTTACTTTTTCAAAATATATTTTTACATTCTTATGTTCTTATGTTTTGTCGCTAGTCATATATACCCAACTGTAAGTTTTTCTTTTTTTTCTTAGCATTTGGGTATGATTGTCATATATGCATTTAATGTTTGGGAATGTAATTTTCTTTTTCTTTTTTTTTTTAAATTGAGGTATTCGATCTCTTAGTTGAAATTATTTTAGTTCTTATTTTCATTGGTTGCATTAAAGTACGTGGATAATCTTACATTAGATAAACACAAATTAAGTAAATGACATATAATGAGAAGGTGAATCAATCAAAATGGCTTAGAGCCTAAATTTTTAACAAGCTAAAAATAAGCCAAACTCATACTTGAATTTGATTAATTTGTTCATAGAGCCTAAATTTTTAACAAGCTACATACACTTTGGTAAAAACTCTTAAAACAGACGAAATAACTAAATTATTGGATGGAAGAAACGATGACTAATTTATATATTTGATCAAAACTAATGGAATAAATAGTAATTCTCCTATATTATTTTTTAGTAACAATTTTTCCAAAAATAATATAAAATCAAATTTGTTTGTTATTTTTTTAGTGTAGGAAATAGTATTTACCAATTTGTTAAATTTTCACAATATATAACATTTTGCTTTGAAAATTCATATCACACTCTTTTGGTGAATGAGTTTGAAACTACACCATTTGGTTACATTTATATATTTTATACTTAATTTAAGAAATTTGCCTAAGCGATCTATTTTTAACAAGCATCAGAGCTTCCATCTAAAAGTTAACAATTTGAAGCTAACACCATCTCATCAAAGAAGTTAACAAGTGAAGGTGTTGAAGCTGAGAAAGCATTTTAATTTCTGTGAACACCATGTTTGCTCAACAAAAAACAGGCAATATTTTCTTAATCCATCTTTTTGAGAATTTGAGGGTGGAGTTATAGGTTAGAGATATGACAACAATATCTCTAGAAAAACAGGGGAAGACTAAGTATATTAACCCTTTCTAGAGCTATAAATGTGGATGTTTCTTGCATTGGATCATTCTTTATGATATTGAGAATTTCAATTTCATTAAGAATTGCATCAGAGTAAAGTACCATAAAATTTGCACGAGAATGCAAGGATGGATGGAATTGAAAATCCAACTATTATCTAAAAAATTGTTATATGTATCTTTTTTTTTTTTTTTTTTTTTTTAATCCAACTATTATTAAAAAATTGTTATTTTTTTTTTTTTTTTTTTTTTTGATGTAAATCACAGCTACATCCCTTAAGTGATACCATTTCAGAACATTTTTTATTGTTTATGTAACATTACAAGTTGCTACATTGTGGGCAGGAGGAAAACTTTCTCCTTCATTTAGCCTGTTACATTAATGCAATATAAAAAGAAATCCAAGTTTCAACTAATTGCTTTTGTGATGGCTATGTTATGCAGCGAAAATACATTAAAGCGTTACAAGATCAGATTCAGAGCAATAGCAAAGACACAAATATGATAGCTAGATTTAAGTACTTGGAAGCTATTAAATCCAACAGTTTTAACTTATTTTGGAGATTAAATCCAACAGTTTTAACTTATTTTGGAGGGAGTGTAAAATTTGCATGACTGAACATATCTCTGTTGGACCCGCTGTAACGTGTAACTACATGAGCAGAAGAAGTAAATATCATGGCGGCCATATTCGTCAAGAATAATGGTTGGAGGAAATATGAGCCATCAACAAAGTGGGCCGGGCAGGAAGACTTGTAGAAAGTCGTTGGCAGGACTCAACAGAGTTCTTTTGTTTAGGCAGAATCATTTTTTCTAACTTGAAAAAGAATTTGGGGCAAACAGAGACTTGCACAAAGCTTAAGCAGTGACAGTTTTGGCGCAACCTTTTGATTCACAAAGCTTAAGCAGTGACAGTTTTGGCGCAACCTTTTGATCAAGTCGTTCCAAGGATCTAATCATTCACTTGTTGATTGTCTTTTAATGAAGGGAAAGTAGACCTACCCAGCAACTTGGTTCATAAATTTTATCGTTGGCCTGAAGACAAGGGACAGTACTGTGCCTACCTACTTTTTTTCCATTAGTTCCAATCAAACATCGGAAAATCTTAGCCCGTAAGTGGTATGGGCATGCAAGACTTGGAAAAGTCCTTGCCTCCTTGGACATATTCTGAATCCATTTTTCTAATTCAATAAAACTATTAAAATGAATTGGTATTCCTAAAACACATTCATATGACCCCTTAGTTCGGTTGTCATTTTAGTGGAAAAATAGACATTCCAACCAACGAATTAATATCGTACGCATACTTCATCTTTTCCGAAACGACTGGAAATTAACGCGTCAATTGTCCTTACTTGTTGTCGTATCTCCTTTTTACATGTAGGCTATAGCATCCACCCACCCAACCCATTCCATCAAGCTGATTGGAAAAGTCTGGACCCAATTTCCTACGGCAGACGAAGACTTGTAAAGGTCTCCGGGTCAATGCAACTTGCACAAAAATAAAAATTGACGCTGATTTCACTTCCTCTGTTGTCCAACAGATGTTACCGCCAAAATATAATTGCTTCATCAATTTAGATATTTAAAGCATTTCCATTGGATAAAAAAAAATATTGATAGTATATTAATTTATGGTTGAGTTCCAATAAATTGACAAGTAAGAAAAAATATCTTGAGGAATCTTTGAAGGTGGAATAATCTACCCTTATAAAAAGGAAAAAAAAGAAATATCTATACAAAACGACATTCACACCACATCAATTTTAATTTTTTTTTTTTAAAGAAAAAATACTTTTTGTGTTCTCAAGACAGTCCAATTAGTAGTGAAAAATTTTTTTTGTTCATTTAATTTTAGATTTTTGATTTTTCGACTCTAAAAAGAAGAATTTTTAATCGAAGAATTAGGCAAATCTCTCTAAAGAAGAATTTTTAATCAAGAATTAGGTAATCCCTCTTAATTGTTTTCTCAATAGTTAAAATCCAATCAAAAGCATTCAACTTTTGCTATTCAGAAAGATTCCCAGACCTTGAGAAAATGGCAAATGGTTCTTATAATATTAAATTGATCAAAATTTATAAAATACTTTGTATTGACAACTTCACAGTTATTTTCCGGATTGCTAATCGCTCACAGCTATTCTCTGATCAATCATAGAGGAACCAATAATTTAACCTTCCACACAAATTATTATCAAATCTTCAGTGCTTCCTTTCTAATAACAGAATCAATCAAATCAATCCAGAAAGATAATTCTTTGAAAAACTATAGTAAAATTATTAAAGAATATACAGAAGAAAAATTACTAAAATGAAATAGAGTAAACCGTTTGCATTGATAAATATAAACTACTATATAGTTGGAAAACCCTAATGAGCTAATTCCTCAAACATTACACCATATTAAACTAAGCTAATTAATATTACACAATATTTCTTATCGGGCTCTTGGGTTGATGATCTCAGAAAATACAGCACCAGACATTACTTGCTCGGAATTGTTACTAATAAAACTTTGTTCATCACTGCTGCTTATTAATGTCATTCCACTAAGCCGAGAACCAATCACAAGTTCACTGCCGCTACTAAACAAATCGTCACTGCTATCAGCAACTGAGGACCCTTTTAGTGGACTCTCCATGTCAATGTAACTTCCAGTTTGAAGCTCGCCTTGCTTGGTAGCAGTTTCCTGCAACTGTAGTGCAAATTCAAGACCCCAGACCACGTCGCCCATTGATGGCCTGTCCATTCCATTTTCATGCAAGCAACTTACTGCTACTTCAGCAAATTTTCTCAAACAATCCGGTAAAATCTTTCCATGCAAATATGGATCCACTATTTCATCAAAGTTTCCCTTTCTATAGCTTCGCCTTGCCCATTCTGCTAAGCTCGCAGGATTATCGACCGTTGATCGATTCACTGGCGGTCTAGCAGATATCACTTCACATAAAACAACACCAAATGAATATACATCAGATTTTTCTGTTAATCTCTGAAGCCGGAAATATTCAGGATCTAAATATCCAAAACTTCCTTTCACTACGGTACTAATATGCGGCTTTGACATGCTATTGGGACCTATTTTGGATAATCCGAAGTCTGAAACCTTTGCTACCCATTTCTCATCTAGCAAAATATTTGTTGTTTTGACGTCTCGATGAATGATTGTGTTGCTGGCCCCAGAATGAAGGTAATTTAACCCCCGCGCTGCCCCAATGCATATCTCTAGTCGTTGAGTCCATGGAAGTGGAGGATTGCCGGTCTTGTAGAGATGATCGCGAAGAGTTCTGGAGGATTGCCCGGTCTTGTAGAGATTGATCGCGAAAGATTCCTCGACCCATGTACATCATATACAAGTTATCATTTTCATTATCTTTCATAGCAATAGCCAATTTTTTAAAGAGATCTAAATGAAAAAATGGACGAAGCTGAGAGGAAGAGAGCCATTTCCTCAATCTTCTGTCTTGAACTCATGTGCCCCCTTGTTCAGACCCTGATTCAGCCGTTTTTGATTATGCAACAGTACTGCCCCATTTTGTTGATTAGCCTATTTTAGACAACCAAAACCTCCAACGCCTATAATGAAATAAATGTTTTCAAACAAAGTTATTAGTAGCATCTATAATCTCGGAGAGTTGAAAACGGCGACAAATATCAGCCCGGTAGAGTTGATGAGCTCTGAGTCTGGTAAGAAGAAATAGAAAATGGGCCGCCCCCAACCACGCAAGCAAGCTTCCATTACCCCCTTGTCCTTGACTCCAGTCTTCTTCGCCGGCCCAATCCATAGGGGAAAGGTCCTGAAGAGAGCTATAGCAAGAAGCAGCCTGATACAGTTCACCACCAATAACGGCACCAATTTTTTTCCCGTTACTGCTAGGAATTTGAAGACGTGGGGACGATTAGTTGTAGTGTGTGCCTGTAAGTTTTCACCGTCAGGATTGGTCCGCGACGGCTATTGTCATATATTACTCATGTAGTGTGTGCACTTGTTAAGTTCACGTCAGGATTTGGTCCGGCGAGGCTATTGTCTATATTACTCATTTTGAAGATTTCAATCCCATTCAAAATTGCATCAGAATATAAAGTCAGAGCAACCCTGGGATGCAATGCGACAGACACATTTTGAACCTTTTTGTTTCCTTGGGGTTCAATCGCTACTCCATAATCTTTGAATATAGGAAATCCATTCCCCCCACTCCATTTAATTACATCGGCACTATCTGCCGTTTGATTGTTTATGTAAATCCAAAAAACCCTGTCCTCTATTTCAGTTATTGGCGGTTGAAACTCACAAAAATGAAGTCTAAAAAGATAAGTAAAATTAGAATCAAGCTGAAACGTCCAAGTGAGATTATATTTCTCGTTAATGCTCTTGTTCATACCCATTGACCTTGCAGTTTCATACACCACGTCCGGTGCACCATAACGAGAGATATTATTGAGATCGCCATATTTAAGATGAATGGCGAAATTAGAAAGAATTGCACCTTGTTCTGCACTAGTTAAATATTCATCATCAGCTGTCCAGCTTCGAAACATTCCATTATCCTTTAGAGGTGAGACGTCACCGCCTCCAACATTTATCCGGTAGGTTACTTCTAGAGCAGTGTTGCTTCCAAGGCTGCCTAGATCGCTCCTGTCAAGAAATTTAATTCCTGGATCACCGGTTGCATTGTACAGAAGATTTGTAGGTATAGATACGATTTCAAGTCCGTTAATGAAAGCATATGCGCCAGTCATACTAGGAGTTGGACTGAACGTTACGTTCAACATCTGACCATCTTCTACATTTAAGCTGAATTCCTTAACAAAAGTGTCAAAGTTATGAGCCTGTGCATAAAGCGCGGCACTGAAGTTGCTAAGAAGAGTGAAGCCACCGGCTTTGACAGAAAAGAATGCAGTGGAGCTGCTGAAACTGACATAGGAAGCTGGGTAAAAATAGAGGCGAATAAATTTTGGCCCTGGAGTAACCGGTAACGTGTAGGTGAAATCGGACTGTGAGAGGCGTGCAGTTATATAAGGAACTTGATCGCCGGAGGTGGGATGTTTAGAAGCTGGGGATGTTATTGATGCGTTGGTTGGATCCAGGAGGGAGAATTTTGAATCGGTGTCTACAGTCCAGATTCGATCACCTTCTGCAGTTGTAGCACTAGTAGAGCCACAGTCAATAGTTATGTTGCCGATAAGAGGAGATGGTGAATCTCCGGCGGTGAGGATAGTAAGGTGGTGGAGCAAGAGAAAAAAGTAGAGAACGGCAGAGATCGATGGGATTTGCAGGTGAAGATATTTGTTATTGGTTTTTCTCATCTTGTGAGAGAAAGAAGAGAAGGGTGAAGATATTTGTTATTGGTTTTTCTCATCTTGTGAGAGAAAGAAGAGAAGCGCGGGGAGGAAACAGGTGGTGGAGCATGCATAGAAGCTTTTCGTTTTTAGCTGTATAAAATATAAAAAAAAAAAC